AATAAAGCAGCCCTTTCACAATTCACGAAAAATACAACATTGGCATTTCACGCTTCACGGAAAATAAAAGAGAACATTTTGGAAAATCACGGTTCACGAGGAAAAATTAGCCATTTCACATTTCACGGGAAAAAAAGGGCCGATCACGAGTCACGAAAATTCCCTTTACCACCCTCAAATTTGGACAAGCATCTCTTTACTCAAACTGAAATGTTAACTACTTAAGCAACCCGAAATACTACGAGAGCTTTTTCCTTCAATGTTTATAATTTTTCAACGTTTCCTACCGACAAATTTCACTGTGCAATGCAGTGCTTTTCTGTTCTTTCAATCGTAAACTATCTAACATCAACCTGGACCAAGTTAACATGCACATCATAGTCGTAGTTTCCTACCTACAGTTACACATTCTTGCAATCCGATCTGAGTTCATTACATCAGTCAAGTCGTATTGTCTTCACATATTTTGATGGTCTTTTGGTGAGGTGGGCTACCTCAATAAAAACTCAAAAGAACACACAGTTCTCGGCAAAGAACACTAAAGGTGCTCAGTTCCTATTAAGTGCAAAAAAACGAGAAACTGCAAGGTTTCCCGGGAGACTGAATTCGATTTCGCAAGCCACAGATTGACAAAAACCGATTTCAAAACCAATTTCAAAACTTTCAGTACGTTAGAGAAAACAAGCTCATTTTTCCATACAAACATTTTATCCAAACGGTATAAAACGTCTCGCTAACTAAAATATTTTGTATTGCTTTTAACAGTCGAATCTCTGCTTTTGCCTTTTGCTTTAAAGTTGCCAGAATACCTAACTCTGAAAATAGGTTAAATGAAACTCTCCTTAAACAAAAAAATGATATTTTAGCCGAACGACTATACCTCGATATTTCCTCATCTTATGTCACAAAATGAAGAAATCGAAATTGAAAATCATAGTAGAGATATAAAAATCTGTAAGTTCAATTTTGTAAGATTCGAATATTCCGAAAATAGAGACAGTCCAGATGTGATTTTAATTTTTGCAACTTTAGATAAGTATTCCGTTGCCATAACTTCCACAATTAATTACAGGCAGCCCAATCAAGGTATCTTGTGTCGCGAGGTTGTGTTTTTCAAATTAAAATACATGGTCTGCTCCACGGATGTACTGTGAAGTAACTTAGGCCATCGGGTAAAACAACAAAAAAGCTTTGAAGAATACGGTTATCTCAGATACTGCAATATGTTACTACAAATTTCCAAGTTCTCCCAACGTAGATTATTTGCGATAATAGCGACCCCATCTCCTTATACTTAATTGGGTGTTGATATTATTGCATAATACTTGCGTACATTTGCATACCTTGAACACGAAGTTTGAGGAGCCCCATGCTGTGGTGAATACACAGAAGCCTCTGCTAAAAGAAAACACACCACCTTATTAAAACAAAAAGCTAAAGATAAAGGTCAAAAAATTGTGAAACACTTGCCATAATTATTTTTCTCGCATTTGTGTTGCACTTTGGTTTCTGTAACTTCTTGAATCGGCAGATTACATTCGTCACTTAAAATCATTTATCTGTGGCTACTATTAGAATGTGTATGTCAGCTGAATCGAAGCTGTGAGAAACGCATTTCAACGCAGGTCGCTTAAAATAAACCAGTTTTATAAACATAAGATTTCATATTGTGTTAGATTGTAAGAAACATAAACACTTACCATTAGAAAGATATTCCAACAGCTTTGAGCGGTGCAAGCTAAATATAGTTTTGCCGGCCTTCTGAAAGTTATCACTCGCCAAAATGTAACACAGAGCTATTTAGCAACAATTCGGTTTGGTCGAACCGTAGTAATTCAGTTTTTTGTTCGCAAAATCCTCAATCTATCCAGCGGTCTATTGTTGCAGAGGCGTCTTTTCTCTGTCTGCATACAGACATTTTGATAACTGTTCGGCTCGTAGACTGTTACAGAGTTAACACCACAAAGTCTTGACCAAATCCGGTAGAGTTGCAGAGTTCTTTAAAACAGTGGAAAAGTAGTTTTCCCCAGATATTTCAATCAAAGCACGTAACTAAGACTCAGTGAAAAATTGTGATAACAAAGAGGTTATTTCTGCTCGTATTTCGGGCAATATTACATTTGCCGTTAATGATCAGCAGGGAGTAATATGGCCGAGGGTCGCCGACTTGTTGATTGGAGGTGCATATCAAGCAGGTGCAAATGTTAAGTGAATGAAATGAATGAGATCTCCAACCAAAGCCTTAGTCAAAGACAAAGCTGTATCGAACGCCCTAAATCCAGCTGATATTGCTTCCGTCAAACCTCTTATTGATTAAGGAAATTTATCAGTCTGTTAAAATGAAGCAGCCAAACGTCCACGAGACAATTGTGTCCATTTTTGGCCAATATGAAACTGGAAAGGCGAAAAGCTTTGAAATTTTGTAGGGTAAACATTATGTAATAAAATGGCCAACAATGCAAAAAGGTAAGCTTTAATATTACGGTACATCTCACAATATCATCGCAGAACACAGCCCAAAGGAATGCTGGGAAGGAGAGGGCGTTCGTTACCAAAGTTACTTTTGCTCGTTAAACGAGCTTTCTCAGTCACGCATGCGTGTTCGTAATGGAGAGGTATGTTCGTTTTACCGCCAGAAATGATTGCAAGTTGTCAAAGAAGACACACAAATCCTCTAAAAGCTATGAATTGCGAGCGGCGTTCAACAGAAATAATCACGTGTGATGGCAGCAGTTTTGAACGGCTTTTTATTTTTTAAAGAAATATATGACAATAATTGACTGACTAACTGATTGATTGATCAATCGAATGCTTGCTAAGCTCAACAATAGCTAATTAGCAACACGACATTCCTCTATGAAGTCGTTAAAACGCTTAAGTCACGCATAAACGAGCGTATTTGTCGATGTTTCAAAAGATTATGACTTTGTTCTAAAACATTTCATCAAATTTCCAGCAAATCAGAGTTTTATCTGAATCAGCTAACAACAAGCGTTCAGGAACTAGCGTATACACTGTCCCAAAACATAACTTCATAAGACTGGAGAAGACGAACTGCTCTCTTAATATCCTTGTAGTGAACTTCATTTAGCTTGCCCTGATCATTTGCATTATACGCCTCTATCACTTTGACAGCTTCCTCGTCAAGGTCACCAGAAGCAAAGAATCGAACAAAATCCACGTCTTCTTCTTTCATGTTGTAGTTCTCCTTCAAAGCGTCTGCGAAACTCGAACACATCTTACCGAACGCGGGGAAATTTACTGCAATGGCTGCCGCGATTTGTGGGGCTTCTCCGTAATGCGCAAGTCGACATAGATACGACGGGTATCCCTGTGCAAGGGCTTGGGGCTCGTAGTTCTCAAGGTCAGATTCTGAAAGTTTCATGACCTTTGCCATGGTTAGTAATTTTCCATAACCCAACCTCTCTCCGTCTAAAAAGAACTGGAAGTAATCTCGGATGACATGGTTGCCATCAAACCTGGTTACCAGGTGCGCCAGAGAACGGGTGTCAGCTGCTATGATGTGATACTGCTCGCAAAGGAATCGTTCCACGACCTTGAGAGAAAGTGTCCCGGCTTTTGCCTCCTTAACGACCTGGTGGTTCGCTAGTTTTTCGTCTGTCTCCAAACAGAAAGGCTCCTTTCGCAGCGACTCCAGAATTTCTTTGGCAGTTTTCTTAGTTTCCATTCCTGGGATAACAGGACAAACCTTTCCAGTCACTTGAAGTCTCCCTTAACCTGTTGAAGGGTTAAAAATGACAGTGAATCAATTATATCTACTACTGTTCATTGACCACTGGGCCAACGCAGCCCAACGCATTACTTAGTCCTATACCCGTAATTATCCCCAAACCTGGGAAACCGGTTGTTAAAAGCCCGATAATCCAGTTTTAGCCTAAATTTTTAGTTCTATTTACCGCGATCCAGTTTTGGCGTGGACTAACCTCAAACACCACTGAAAATTAGTGACGAAAATTTCTTTTATACAAAAGAAATTACAACATCGATCAAATTTTATCCTGGCTTAGTGTTAATCGAAGAACTCGGCACAAAGAGACTAACACTGGTGTGATCTCTACTCTTCAACCTGTCTGCCAGACCTGACACAGACCATACTTTCCAAGACTGACCCACGCGAGGTTTCCGCTTTGATTAAAACACCTCACTACTCACGTTGCCTCGGTTGTGTCTTGATTGATAGTCTGTTCTGTTCAAGTACAATACACCGTCTTGTTCGTCACCGTTATTTGGAAAGTACGCAGTCCTTAACGTCACGACACAAATAACGGCAACAACAAGATCAGTCTAAGTTCTCTCTCTCAGTTTACGCAAGTCAAGTCGTCATCAACACAACATTTACAGAAACTTTGAAGCCGAGCCTTCCGTTTAAATAATAGCCTAGTCCAACCTCGGTGCTTATGTGACCGTCTCCGATGTATAAAGATATCAAAGTATGTAACGCAACACCAAGACTTGAGATGTAACCATTCGACCCACTCAAAGCCACAACAATCAGTCGATTATATAACGAGCAATATACACAATACAACGATCCAGAGTGACTTATTAAAGTGTTATTTACCATAAATTGTCGAAGTCGTACACCATGATGCAAATTATGGGACGGTTATCCTATCCACTGTACATTTAAATCAACACGAAAATAACAGTGAAATAACTCAATCCTAAAGTGGCTTGTCGTCAAGTACTGAACACGGTTTTGCATTCCTTATATGAAGACAACACTTGTTGGTTTATTTATCCCGAATTCACGAGTGTAAGTAGAAAAAGATTGATATGTTTAAATTCGTGTCAGGAACAAGAGGTTTAAAGCGTTACATGAATTAAGCAATATGCAAATGACTACTGGATGACAATAAAACAAACAGTTAGTCATGAGTTATCTGATATTTTAACGGCATCAAAGGTCACGCAATGTTCGGAATAAACGACGTGGCTTAGTAAACAAATTTGCTTCATCCTTTTTTTTTTTTAATTTTTAGTTCAAAACAACATCTCCAATTAGAACCAGTCAAAAGTAACTTTTACAAACGTCTGGAAGCTTTGGAAAGCATATCTGACTATCTACGATGCAAGTTGACAAGTCTAAGTGTTCGTTATTCCGTTATATTACATCGAGCACCTTCTCTAAACAAAATTAAAAAACCATTGTCATGAAAATAACTGAATTCCCCATTCAAGAGAGTAAAAATAAGGTATAAAGTGTATAAAACCCGGTACAAACCTTACGGAACTCCACAAGCTACTCACCTAAATTACAAAGATGGACAATCACAGCGGTGTGTGTTGCGGGCGCCGACTTGTCCAGCGTTCTGTGGTCGTGTAAGCTGAAGCCAATGTTCTCCGTAATATGGAGCAGTAACACAGACATAGTTAAAATCGCTGTGTCGAAGATTAACTGCATAATGCTATGTTTATTTGGTAAAGCCATTTTCTGTCAAAATATGTTTCCGATTATATTTTGTCTGAATAAAGCCCAAAGGTCAAAGGAAAATCATTATTCACATCCAGTTAAGCTTCTGTGTTATTTAATTTCTGAAATAACAGGAAGTCGACCTTTTTATCAAGCCAACTAACTGTCGAAGTATCAGTAGAAAAAAATATTTTCATAAGTGCATTTTTCACCTTTATTTCAGTTAGCTATAATAAGGTAATTTACTGTAACACGCTCAATTGAGTCGTCTACCTCAAAGGTCAAAATTTCTACAAATTCCGGCTTGTCATCAGTCTGTGTCTTTCCTCTTCAAGGTTTAGGACTCGAGAAAGAAATGAAAGAGGCTGCAAGGAGTTCCATCTTACCACGGTTGACATGGAAATGTCCCTGAAATGTTGCTCATGTTCAATGAGGTGTAATGTTCATTAGTTTACCAGTCTTAAAACATACTGCAAAGTACAAGTGCTCATTTCTTTCGCTAGATGCAGCCTGTTTCCTCTACGTTTGTCCCCCGGAGTAATTCATTTCCTCATAAATTCGTTTGGCTACACGGCGGCAGCTACTATTAACAAGCACACGGGACAAGAGATCCTCGATCTATGAGAAAGAGATAAAACGTTTTCCATTTCTTTTTATGTGATTATACCACGGTAAGTTGAAATTGCAAGCACAATTATTTGTGTAAAACATAGAATAGTCGGTTGGTAGCTTTTTTCAAACTAAGGATGAAAATCAGAAAGGCTGATGGAAACCTGATATGCATATCAAACTAGTAAAGCTGTACTTTTGAATTATAATCTTCCTGATGAAAAATTGTTTTGAGGAGCTGTGTAAGGCGAGTGGGGTTGAGGAGTAATAGAGAGGGTAAGGGACTCGTTCTAAAGTAAGGAACGGATAAAGCATAAGAAAGTTTATTTAATAATTAGAGCTTTTAACGTATTTTTAAAATTCTTTCAAAGCATATACATGTACACACAGAAGTTTCAACTGACCTTGCCGTCAGAGGTTTTTTTCATTGAATTAGTAAAGAATAACAGTGTAAGAGTAGATTGACTGGAAACTACCAGGGAGGAAAGATAAAAAAAAAGGATACAACTACGGAAGAATGAATGGTAATGTCATGCAGTGAATCTGAATATCTCTACGGTTAGTCTTCAAAACGTACCTCGTCAACGGACAAAAAATGATTTTCTGTGCGTTCATCGCCCAGAAACGAGAGCATGTCGTTCGTCAATGGCAACTTTTGAAAAGCGTCTACGAAATCTACGATGTGGGGAAAAGCGAGGAATGTGAGGACAAAAGTGTGAGACATGACCCAGTTTAAATCAAACCAGAGTCAAGACTTCAGGACTCGCCTGTTCGCGTTAAGGTATTACTGGTTTTTGAGAAATCCATGGCTCGGAGGAATCGTCCTTGCCTAAGAAAACAAGCCAAAACCTTCCAGAGGAAAAAAAAGCATGCAGTAATTTAGTAATTCAGTCACCTGTATTACATTTTATTTACAATGCATGAATATTAAAACACCACTTTGTTTTGATTCGTTTTATGGTCATTCTATACTAGCTTTGTTGTTAAATTGCATTCAGTTATTTTAGCATTTAACACACATTAACCTCTTTAGAAGCACCAACGTTTGCGAACACAACTTCTGCAAGTCCAATGAGTCCACATTTACAACTACAGAAAAAAAAAATAATGATAAAAAAAATGGTGTTTAGTGATGGCATGGCAGGCATGTACCAAAAACCTGTAGCATGAAATACGCATCCTCGTAGACCCAGGGCCAGTTACCAGAGTTGGGGAAAGTCAAAACGGCGCGAAAAAAACAATTGGTCGGGTAAGAAAGGTGAGAGAGAAAGCGAACACGACTTGGGGCTGAGTTCTTATCGCGCCAGTTCAAAAAAGCTCTATGAATGATGCCTCCTGATTGGGCAGAAAGGCCGAAACCCGCTCTTATACCAAGCCTACACAAAGTCAAGTTCGTTCACCACATTTGTTTTAGAAGTTTGTCTAGATTGTACTCGTCGGATTTCTAGACAACAGACACAACACGAGGGAGTTCTAAACGTTTTCCTAAATAGAATTACGGAAACACAGCCAAGTCTTTGTTCTTACTCTATATAAGCCCAACACTATCTAGATGGTTGGCCTGTAAGTTCATTCTACTGAAACACAGACTTTTCTCTTAATGTCAATAATTAGGTAAATTATTATTAGCTGTAAATTTTTATTTAAACTAGATTAGATCTTACATTGTAAATTTTTTAATTCTTATTTTGTAATTATTCTGTATTGTTTATTTACACACGACCCCGCAAGCTGCAAGCTTAACTACTTATCGTGTTTAAATAAAGGTTACTTACTTACTTACTTAATACCGCACATGCATAACCAGTTACTTTATTCTCTCAAAATCGTCTATGTACACGACACCTACATGACCAGCATCTCATTAATCATTAATTCAATGGTTATCACTTTATAAAAAAACAAGTGGTCATTGATAAAATTAGTTTCCGTTTGCAGTAAAGCCGTGAAGCGTTGCTAATAACGTGATTTCAATTTTAATTTGGACTAAGTGTGCCGGTGTTTATGTTAAGAAATTTTGCGAAGAAAGGGGAAAATAAAAAGGCGTCTGAGTGTGTTGGATAAAAAATGATCAAACGATATCCTGTATATAATTTAACTGATATTTGGAAGCCTTGTATTTGGCAAGTATTCATCGAAATGCTTCTGAATTCGATCATCTGATTAATTTTAGGATGTTCTATCGCATAACCGGTTTCTTTACGATAAATTCGTGGAACTCTTTTCAGACAGCTTATTCCGCAAAAATGTCGCGACCAGCGCGCAGTAAAACGGCCCATGTAACTACTTTTGACGCAGACATGTCGCGTCTAGCCTGCGGTTAAACGGCCCATGTGCTTACGTTTGACGCAAAAATGTCGCGAACTGTCTCTGGAACATCAAACAACCGCGTGACGAAAACATGAGATGACACACGTACAAGATCTAAGTAAACGCTCCTTAATAACTAAAATTCGAGAATGTTGACCTAATAATTTTGCGCATCATTTAAGGATAATCAGCTTAGTTCTTCCGACGACGTTTTCTGGTCTCAAGTGCCACGATGAGAGTTTAACGTTATTAAAGGGTATTTTGGACAGATTTAACATACAAATCCAACTTACTCAGAGAATTTCTATTCACGTGGAGAATTCTAAAGGTATAATAACAAAACAATGTCCAAAATAACAGTAACACAACAACAAGAATGTATGATCAAATGAAAAGGCTCAAAATCAGGAGGCAAGTTAATACAAGTTCGCAGGGTACGCTAAACAGGCATTAATGAAAGAACTAGATTATCCAGGGATGTTCTGTTGACTAATTACCAAGGTCTCACAGTTAGAACAATTCAACATCCAGATGTCATGATGTTGCATTTCTTAAAGTAAACTTTATAAAATAAAATGTTTGTTGGTTTGTCGTGTACAGTGCATCTCTAGCCAGAATATTTCGAGCAGTTTTTCATTTTATCGTGTCTATATTTTTGTTTACGTACAGATCGCTTTTCTACCTAGTAACTCGCGGATAAAACCTTTAAACTTCTTAGCCAACCCGCTAAAATGAAACTTTCAACATACAAAGATCGAAGGAGATCACATAATTCAAACTAAAGACATTTACAAAGGCTTATGCGGTTTGCTCGTTTGTTGTTGTTTTTTTTTTGCTATGGGGGAAGGAAAATGATGGACCGCTATGGGAATTGATTATTTTTGAGAAAAATGGGCGGTATTTTACTGCAAATATACCACAAACCACAAAACTTTAATTTTGACGAGAGGCGGCCGCGAAAATGGTGGTCGAAGTATACGACACGGTGTGGCGGGAAAACATCAGTATAAAACACAAAATGCGCGTTCAACCAGGTTTCCAACAATCATCTTCATCATCAAATTTGTCGGCGTGAGAAGTTTTTCAATATTTTTGTTACATAACGTGAACGAGACAGGACTTATCTCTCCGGCACTCGAGGAATCGGAAACAGAGATAAAAACAATCAGTGTAGTGTTGACATTTGATTGATAAAGAGGTCTCGTGCGTTTCCGAAGACTGTCACGAGGAGGAGAGCCTCAAGTCGAATCTCAAATTCCCAAGTGATTTCATACATAAAGGTCTTGCAAAGCTCTAAAGACTCATTTTCGCAATGCGAAAAAATTTTGATAGCAAAAAGCCGCTGAAGTGAAGCAATGTTAAGAACAAATCGTGGAATGAAGGAAATTTAACAGTAAAGGAAAAATTGATGCTACAGGTTACGTATCTCTATTCATGTTAGTGTCTGGATGCTTTTTCCTTGGAGACAGGAATTGGGGAGGGTTGGTCAGTGCTGGACTGTCATCGAAACAAGGCTAGACGATTAGGATTTTGAAAACAAAGTTTTGAGTCAGATTTTAGGCTGTCGTTACTCCTGATAATTACGCGCACGCTAGCATTAATTAAGTGCGAGTATGGAGACATTTGCACTCGTCTCTCATCCATGTTAATAGACCATGCTCGTATGCGGACGTTAAATTTCTGTCTTGTCTAATCCACCAGTCTAATAAATTATTTAAAAAGTCAAGTTTGCGACTTTTTTATGCTTACAGTTCAGATGCGTTCAAGATGTGAGTAGTGATGTTCTTGTCCGGAGCCGAAAGAGGTCAGCTTATGTGAATGTTTTAATTCTACCATGGAGAAACATCCCTTAGATTTACGGGGTTTTTTCATTTAACCCATTTCAAAACCTGTAAAAAACCATGTCTTTTTCCTCTGATTAATCACTGATGTAATTAGAGGAATACTTCAGGATACACATTTTTGCATTGCTCAGTAGAATATAGTTCGTCAGGTCTTTTATAAAATATTTTTTTAAAATATTTTAAATGCCACCTTTGTGTTTTCCCCCAAGACCGAAGTTTCCCGTACGTGACTCTCTAAATTATCTTTTCCTACTTCACTACGTTTGTGGTTTTAGAAAATTCTTTATATTTTTTGCTCCGTTCTGCACAAAAGATGATTTTGGATTAATCGCAGTTCGAGAACACTCTGTGTGCTATTGTAAGGAAATCTATCCTGAGCGGTGTTTAGCTTATATCAATTTAAAATTCTGAGTTCTTGACACGTGTTCTTAACAACATGTACCTGAAATAACCTCAGTCCATTAACACTGCATTATAAACCACGCAATATGACGAAAATACTTGAGCAAATGGAACATTTATTTCTGTGTGTCATGTCAAATGAAGTTAATTTGCTTGTTTATGACTTACACCTGAAATTAAAACGACAATATAAGGAAAGACAACTTATAAGGGCAAAAACCTTGGCAAGAAAAGGAGGGTGGATCGTTTGAAGAGATTGACCCACAAACTGTGTATTGACATCGAGGATTCCGTTTTTAACTTTACATTTTTATTGGACAACTGTCTTCTCTCTCTCTCTGTGAGATATATTTACAATCTCAAGAATCCCGCTGATTTTCAGCAAAAGTTCAATCAACCATCAAAAATTTCAGATCACACGAGGAGGCATCTACAATTGACGGAGGTACATAATTAACTAATAGGAACTCTTTTTACTCTTATTTATTTTAGCTTGTAGTAATTTATTAGGTAATTCTTATTTATGTCATTTTTAGGTGATTTTTATTTAGGAGGGCTCCACTGAAAACCGCCTTTGGCGAGTTGGATTCCCTCACTAAATATTATTATTATTATTATTATTATTATTATTGATTTTGAAAGAAAATACGAAAAATGCAGAGGCGGGAACAGTTTAATTCTGCATTTATATCTACTGTCAAAATATGCGTAATATGTTTTTATAAATAGTCTGACTATTGTGAATTGTTAAGTCGATTGTTTCCGTTTGGTAGTTCCATAGGTAAATATGATTGAAAGCTCCAAAGTCGAGCATTTCAACATAGACAAATGAAACCATCCGAGTTCCGCAATTCATTACTTAATTATCGATCAAAGTGAACAAATAGCATTGCGGGCAAGTGACTGCTGCCAAGTAATTTACATATAATCGATTTGAGATTTCAGAGGCAATGAAATACTTCCCTAATTTGGTATTTACAAAATTCAATGTTTCAAAAGATCTTTTTGTTTTAGTCATAATATTGCAGATTTTTACAGGAAGAAATGTTTACAGTCACAAAATGTGTACAACAGGTCAGTTTATGTTGAACAACCGGTTTTCTACCTTATTTTAAGACTCCAAATCCTTTCAGTTTTCTGAATTGAATGAAGTACACTTGAGGTTTTAAGTTTAGACAAGCGCCATCGGTTTGTCTTCCCAAGAGTTCCGCCGCAGCGTGCTTCTGAGCACTTTTTTCACCTCTTGCTTGAATATCTGCGTCTTCAGGCTATAGATAACAGGATTGACGGCCGAAGAGCAAAGAGCGACAGTCTGCGCCCATTTTAAAGCTCGCATGACAACCCGGTTGGCGGCGCTGTAACGAAAAATCATCGGGATGACGATCAGAGGAAGCCAGCAGAAGATGAAGACGGCTAAGACACTACCGATGGTTTTCGCGGCTATGTTCTCTCTGTCGCGTTTCTTTTTTGAGTCTTTTTCTATGTGTTCCGCTTGTCTTGCGATGACGCGCTCTTGACCGCGTGCGATCAAATAAATACGGATGTAAATTGGGACAATGATCACCACAAGAGCGAGTGTATAGTACTTGGTGATACGCTGAACCGATTGTATAATACCACTCGGTATTCCCAGCCCCAAGGAGATAACCCAGATGAGACAAAGCAGGATAGAAGCGCGCTTGAAATTCGCTTTGAGCTGGTACTGCATAGGTGTTACGATGGCTATGTAGCGATCTACGGTCAAGACGGCCAGATTACTGATCGATGCAAGCATAGAGACGAAGGAAAATGTCTTTCGCGTCATGCCGTAGACTGGATTTGGAGGCAGTCCGTACAAAAACACAGCGTTCATTGGTTGAGCAACGATGCATACCAACAGATCTGCCAGTGCCAGGCTAGAGATGAAAACGTTCGTGACAGTGTGAAGTTGCCGGTTCCGTGCGATCACAATGAGGACCAAGACATTGCCGATGATGCCGCAAAGGCTGAATACTACATTCACTGAGGCGAGAAAAGTAGCTTCGATGTTGCTGAGGTCTACAGTCGAATTAGTGGAGCCGTTCTTCACCATATTTTCAAAAATAAATCTTTCAGTTTCTTGAGGATCTGTCTAGTTTGAAAGGAGGTTCGTCTAGCGCGATTCCAAGCAATTTGTCATTGCGGCCACTGCTATTTATACCAACATTTTTTTGGTTTCGCAAGCGAATCTCGCCGGCTTCCGTGTTCTGAAAAGCAGTTTTCGCATCCGGTTAAGCCCGTAGACTCGTCATACTTTGCCAGCTAGATAAAAAATAGCCCTTGCTCCAAGCCTATCGACCCTAAGCCAGGTCGTTCGGTACTAAACAGCGCTATTTAGCCTCTGACAAGCGATAAGCTGACTGAAACTCGAGTCGCATTACAAGATAACATTGCATCCCGTCATCAGACCTGTCGAAAGGTCTCTAGCGCGGTCGTCTCACGGCGTGTGCTGAAGCTGTATGGGCAAACTTCGAGCCACTGATGCGAATTTATAGCGAATGCAGTGACAATTAACGGTGGTGTACCCTTGGCCTGTTTTCCTCTTGATTAGTTCGTTCGGGATACCAGACACCTTGTTAATAATAAATGAGTTGATATTTACACCTGCCCAAAAGGAAATGAAAAACAAGTTAAGTTTTCGGTTTCGCCAATGACTAAAAATTTTAATTAAAGAAGACAATACAACCGGCGCTGCAATCAAGAAATCCTGGCTTAAAAGGAAGGTTAAGACGATTATTGAGGAATAAAGTTGCTACTCTTTTACAAATTTTATCGTTTATTCAAGTGCCCGCAATTCATTACAGAATATAAGTTACCATCGAACTAGGTCAATTAATGTGGAAAGCAAGACGTCTAAGGCTTCTTTGTTGTTATTCTACATTAGTCGACGCAAATAAGCCGACGTTATTAACTATCACATTTGACGTTTTCTTATTTTGTAAAATCGCACTTTTTAATTCTGTTCACGTTTAACTGCCCGAGAATACCATTACGATAAAAATTATTTGCGCCAGTCTGTTTTTTTTTTCCCTTAAGTACCGTCTCAAGATGAACGGGGGTCGTAAATCAACTTTAGTAAATTGGAAGCATTTTGATCGACATGCAACTTTGCTAATGCGTCGCAGCTTGCTGCTCAAATCAAACACTTGCGCGCCCGCCAGGAAAGTTTCTCAAAATACGCTTGCTGAAAGGAATCTTATTGAGACAAACCAACGACTCAATCCGGCGACACTCTGGGGGAATATAATTTAATATTTAAAATATAACATCCAGATCCCCCGTGAGATGCCCGTACAACTCGTGAACATTTTCAGTTCCGTAGAATTCGTAGTCTCTAGTGTCTACAATGAACTTCCACCTGTCTGAATCAGACAATTAAGACTATGAAGACAAGGGAACTGAACAAGGTTTATAAGGAAGTCCATTCCACGATAAACTTCGCGTCACATTGCAGGGCGGAAAATTAATCTGCCTGAATGTTAGTGCACTGTCAAAACAATACTTCAGCAGGGAATTATATTTATGCAAATTTTTAAGGACCTATTTTAGGCAAACGAGACCTAGGAAACTGAGTCTGGCGGTACGAAGTTTATTTGAATAAGTAATTCACCAACGAAGGATGCCTGCCTGTTTTTTCTTTTGAAACTGGGAAGGAACACAAACCGATTGATATCTTATTATTTCAAACCATTCCAGCTGGCTGTTTAAGTACACGTTCTTACAAATGTTTCCTTTGCGACGGCTTTGAGATGCCGAGAAATGTCACCAAAACATACAGACTGACTTCTTGTGAGTAGCTATGAAAGGCACCCCGCGGTTAATTGGAAGTAAATATTATTTAGTATGGCAGCTTTTATCTGCTTTACCTCGCCGCCTGCCAGTCTGGTGTCAGTTATTCTTGACACGAAAACTATCTGCGCACTAAAACTATCTGAGAGCTTGACAGCAATATTATTCACTACAAAATTGCCATCGCCAGAACACTCGATGGCAAAACTTTTGCAGCTGTATTAAACAGGAAATGTGCAAGGCCTAACCAAGCACAACAAGCTAGTCACTGCTTTAATCTTTGCTAATGTTCATCAAAGCAATGTGCAGAGCACTACGTGAAAATTAAGGGATATAAGACATGATATTTTAAGTCTTAAATTGTTCTGATCACCTCAACTGATCGTTCCCTAAGGTAGAATAATAACCAAAAAGTTATAAAAGACCAACAAATTAAACAAGGATCACTACGACTTAGAAAGATCAAGAACCATTACGAACGACAAACCTTGACAAAAAACTGGCCAATTGTTTCAAGCTGCGTCTTTCGTGACGTCGTTCCTGTGATTGCTTTGGGTCACAAAAATAGATCAGTTAATCCGGCCATATTGAAAATGGTGCAAGGTGACACTGAAGGAGAAGCAATGTTTTCATGAGAGGCGTAAAAAAATTCCGCTAAAATTTCAATTGTGAAATATTCACGTTAATGTTTAAACTACACGTACCTTATAAATGTTTCCCTTATTAAAACTGGGGCTGAATCAAGATGTGCTGGGACGGAGACGTGATGTTTTAGCTTTCATTATAAACATCGGCGCGCTGAGAGTGTTTCCAAAACCAAATTTTACAAGGCAAACTCGGTACCAGATCACAATACAAATAAAGTATTTGCAGCAATTTACGCGAACGCTAACTTCACAGTTCACACATTACTCTCTTTCAAAGAGTTCTAAAAAACCTCAAGTTTTTAGACTTTTCAAAATGTGAGCGTAAATTTTAATAAAAGGAAAGAAGACAACTAATTAGAAAGGTTGTGACACATGTCTTGAAGGCGGACAATTTTTGCTCATTTTCGTTTACGAAGGAAATTAAAAACGAAAAAAAACAGCAGGGTTTCGATGTAATTTTTATTTGGCAAATTGGGCGGAGGGAAATTCTAAGAAGGGCAAACTGAAAATAAAATCGAAATGTTTTCTGGCTTGCTAGGTTTTCGTTGTTGATAACGAACGTAGTTGAACGCGATCGGGTTGAGATGCTATATCTACAAAGGATATGCAGTAAAAATAGACAAGCTTAATATTACGAGCCTTGAAATTATTTCCAAATGATGGCTTAAAATAGAGAAGTCTTAAAGCTTTTGTCACGAACCTTTTGCACCTGATGAATATCTTGCTGAGTGGGAAAAGGGGGCCGATCAGGAAATAATCTTGTTCTCAGCTTGTAAATAATCCTCATCCGATTTAAACCTTGCAAGCTACAAGCACATCGAAAATCCTGGAAATTTTGGTTTCGGTTTTGAATGAAATAATCCATAAGTTGAACAACAAATAAACTGTTCTCAAATGGAAATGATTGCTTGGAAAGCAGTATGGTGACTGGCGAAAATCCTGCAATAATAAACTATAGAAACCGCGACAATATTTCAGTCAAAATAGCTTGAAGGTTATTGAAGAGACAATGGACAAAATAAATGGAATTGCGCTGTTACCGACGATTGGGTAATTTTACGAGTTTGTTTTTATCCTGTTTGCGCGATTGCCAAGTAAAAAAATAAAAACCTAAACTTTGAAAGGGGCAGAGGTACTGTTCTTAAAATGTGGCTTTATCCTTATGACAACCTCGACTTTCTTGTAATAAAAATATTTTCCTACAAGAAAGTGCATGTGCACCGTAAATGTTTTTAAATATAGCATCTAAAGAGAATGACCGAATATCTTCACCAAAATACACGGACTGCAAATCTCTTAAGCTTGTAATTATTTTGCTTGTTAGCAGCTGTTACTACTTTGGGGTTAGGGGAAATTGTTTCTGTTGTTTATTCTTTTGTCTTCTCGAAGCCTATAATGTTCGGGCGGGAAGTGAACACAGTTTGCCTCGGAAAGGAAATAATTTGATTACAACGACTCATTTCGTTCTATGTCAATTGTACCGCGAAGCGATATGTAAGCAAGTCAATAACTGTTATACCTTTGTAGTAATTCATATGAAAATATCGCGAATTGCGCTGTTCGACGGTACCAGAGTTGAGCAACACTTCAGCGTTGATATATTTTCAATTTCTTTACTTGGGTTATTTCTAGCGCAGGAAACATTAGCTCTACGATCAAATTTAAACTCTTACAAGTAATTGTCACTAAAAATAAGATCTCTACAGGAAAGAATTAGTGTTAGACGCTTCGTTTCAGGGCTTCAGTTGTACACTCTTAAGATCAGTTGTTTACTGACAAGGACGTCTGAAGGGCTTGACTCGGAATTCTGACGAGACAACAAAGTGAATATTAAGTGAATAAAGATGGTGAATTCTAACCCGATCAAAACAAGGAACTGTTCAACCAAGTCACACTAGTTTCCCGACTTCAGAAACTGAAAGATTTAAGTCCTTTTGAAGGAAATAAATTATAGCTAAAGAGAATTTGATGGGACTCACATTACCAGCTTTGTGTTAGAATCTCCAATGCCTACCATACCATAGTCCTAAATATCGAAGACGTGTCTTAAGGAAAATATTAAAAAGTAAAGCCATTTAATTTAAAATAAGCTTTCAGATTTCAAGACAGAGAAGTAAACAAGGAAGTCAGATGACAGGCTTAAGCAAAAAAATTAAACGTTAATTCTAATAACATTAAAGATGGATTTCTTTCAGATGAGAGATTAAACTGATTATAAAAAGGCGCTTATATGAAATTTAAAAATGCTTAGCCATTTGTTTACACGTTGTAATCCTACATGGCCTGTCGCTGCGTTAAATGAGGAAACAAAAGCCGCATATTTGGAGGCGACGCTGTGATAAAATTAGCCTTAATGTTTTCGAGACGTGACAAGGCAACCGTAATATGTCTAAACACCTGCCATTTCAAAACAATGATTAACATAACGTGAGCCGATTCTGCGGCTCGAATCCTAAATGAAGAAATTAACGCGTTTTTGGCAAAAACAAAACGTGAACTGCTTTAAATTAACTATAAATAGCTGTTCTTTGGGAATTAAAAAGTAAAGCGTTCTAAAGCAACGATTTACTGTAAATCCTGTAAATTTTGCGCCCTAAGACCTAAATGAGGAAACAAATGGGCGCTTTGACAAACAAGAACCGAAACCATTTCAATTAAATTACAGTAGAGCCACCAAGTCGTTTGAAAATAAATCAACAAATATTAAAATGAGAAGCAGGAAATTTGTGGCGGATAGAGTGCATGTCAACCGGCATCTTGAAGACGTACAAATATACTCCAACTACCTAAAATTTAGACAGAAACTTGGCTGTATTTCGCTTAATTGTCCGAAGTGATAAAGTAATAACACCCCATTCACACCAACTTGTTAAACATATTTAAAAGTGGTTTAACTAAACAAGGTTAAAAATTAGTTGTTCATACCGTACACACCCCACAACTTAACATGGTAAAAACCTGTTTAAATAAATTATGTCAGCATCCGGTTTGAAATTTGTCTTCTCAAAATGACTGCAAAGCGTAATTGACAAATTGATAAAAACCAAAACCTGATAGTTAAACTAGTTTAGTTGGTGTGAATGGGGTATAAAACTCTGGAGCCAGGTTCGATATCCTTGATCAGATAGAATTTAAATATTCTAAAATAAAACGTGGATAAAACCCAAGTAAATCTACCTTGGAAACAAGCACAATATTAATCACAGTACAAAACAGCTCGGCTTTCGAACCTTGAGTGTTTCTAACTGACTTGGACACACCGCCATGTCTAAGCAAATACTCAAAATAAAAATAGAGGAAAGCAAAGAAACAAGCGGCGAAAATGTTGATAGGAGATCAAATGCGTCCGGGTTACGGAACAGACAATGATCGAAAACAATTCTGTTTCCTCAACACAAGGAAGAGATAATGTATTGGATTACTGCTGAGGTATTGAACCAGACAACAGAAGTTCTTCACTCAATATGCTGTCTGGTTAACAAGAAACCCACATATAGTGTACTCAAGATAGAAACCAATGGATAAATTAGCCCGAGCGAGTTCGACAAAAAAAATATTCTCTTGGCACACGCAGACCTCTTTTCGGGCTTTTATTCCGAGAATTGTCAGAGTCGCAAACCAAGAACCACTGTGGACCTCTTACCGTAATTAAACTCACAATTAACCAATCGGAAGCCGCGTCTACTGTCCTGATAACCTGCGATATCAAGTCACTGATGCCCAGAAATTTTTAATTTACAGTACAGGTAAAAAAAAAAAAAAAAAAAAACTTTTAAATAGCGCTAAAGCTCTTAGTTTCCTTTATGGAGTAAACTCTAGTTGAAACACGGCTTCAGAAACTCAATGGCTTGATAGAATATGTATTATTTTCCAGTCGGTGTATTTCGAAAACCTCAGTTGAAGGTCCAGCAAAATTATCATTTTCACAGGTGTTGTTTCAGTCTAATTCGTGTTTTTTTTTAGCGTAAATTTACTCTAGCAATGTTTCAGCAAAGCGTCCGAAATGTTTGTCTGAAAATTAAACGTGCGAAAAAAAAAGACCGAAATTTTAATGTCCGAACTGTTAGGCAAGTAATGTCTGCAAGCCGACTTTTAGGGTCCCTGCAGACAACACGGATGTTATGTTGATCCACAAACATAATGAAACAGGCACATCAAGGCCTCTATCGAATTTCTGGTCCACCTTTAGATTATGGTAGACGGGGCGACCCTAACAACTCTTGGAACCCATACCATTTCTAGGTACTGTTAGACAAGTACTTACCTTTCAGGACATCGGCAAGCGTCGGTAATCAATCGGCCAACCTCTTCAGATAGAGTCAACTGGTGACAAGAAATGAGAAGAATACTGAGATGGAGCGAAGATGTCAAAAAGATACTAATAAACATTGGAATGGGCATCTTATGATTCTAAAGCACGTACATCATAACCAATTGTATTGTGTCTCTCACTTTACCTGATCTTGTGCCATCCAGTGAGTAAGGAGATCTTTTCTTCCTGCAAAAATGTAGAAGATGACGTCAAACCTCTTCTTGAAGTCATCAGGCGAGTTTGGGAGATGGTTTCCCTAAAGTTTCCGTAGGAATTTCCTCCAACCCAAGTATATTACCATAAGATTTAAAATGAAAGGACCCATTTTGATAAGTTTACGCACCTTTCTCTAAAACACATTTAACACACTCTATAGTTTCCCACTTTGAGGGTTTCATGCAACCAGTAGCAACAGTGGCAAGGAGAGCTTCCCAATACTTCGCCAAAACACAGCTGAAAAATACGAAGCAAAGCTTGTCGTAATTGATATACAATACAGAAACAGTTGCTTCTCCTTGCTTCGTTCTAAGCTCTTAACATAAGGGATGGGTGACCGTGTCGCGTCCGCGTATAGTTCCCTTTGAATTTAGTAACCGCCAGAATATCGTAAAAGTGAAGAGCCTGAAACTAGGACACACTTGTTTGTTTGTTTGTTTGTTTGTTTGCACACATTATGCCAGGTGTGCTTACAATGCTTTTAAGTTATGAGGTATGTATATTGTTATCACTAAAAGAGAAGAAAAATTACGGCATTGTTAAGTTACCTGCCGCTATGTGCTGCATCGTATTCTTTGAACTTCTCGAGATTTTCCATTGTCCTTAAAACTCCCTTTAATCAGAAAGGTTATAAAAGTAATTGAGTGGGTAGGTGGTTCAACCATTAAGTCAGCTAATGAACCAGCCAGCCAGCCAGCCAGCCAGTCAGTCAGTCAGCCAGTCAGCCGTCAGCCAGCCAGCCAGCCAGGCATTTAGTCAGTCGGTCGGTCAGTCAGTCAGTCAGTCAGTTAGTCAGTCGGCCAGCCAGCCAGCCCGTCAGTCAGTCAGTCAGTCAGTCAGTCAGTCAGTCAGTCAGTCAGTTAGTCGACCAGCCAGCCAGCAAGTCAGTCAGCCAGTCAGTCCTCCACTTAGCATAGAAGTCTAAAGTAAAACAACACATATTTTGCGAGGGTAAAACGTCACACTGGTACATTAGTAAATCGCATGGTTCATAGGTCTTAGACTAATTGACAATGAAATCCTGTTTAAAATCTTGGGAACATCTTGCCATATATTTGGTGTCGTCAAATGAAATTTGTTATGGAAATTCACTTGCATGCAACGAGCTCTTCAATTTACTTTAATCAAGGTGTAGATGTTGATTACCTTTGGTGAATGTGCAGCTAGTAAGGCAGCATCTTCAACTTTTCCCGCCTCAAACAACTGAAATGACAACACCCTCAGCTATGTAGTTATATTGACGGATAAGATACATTTAATCATCAACGAAAACCAGCGTCGCCTATTGTTATCTTGTATGAATGGATAACACCTCAAAAAAACGAAGACCAAAAAAAGGAGATACCATCTCTTGCACTTCATTTTAGAAAATAATTGAGAAAAGCACTTTAGAACCATCCTTCCTTTGAGAAAAGAGATATTAAATAAACAATAGCCTCTATTTGACGCGAAAATATGCTCACATATTTGTCCGCGGACATTATCTGTCCCGAGAGACGAACAGTTTTCCGAAAGAGTAGCTCGAGGAAAACTGTGAACTTCAGTGTGGAAAAGATAATGTCCAAGAACAAATTTCCGAGCGAATTTTCGCGCCAAATGGAGGCTACTGAGTTTATTATCCTTCAAACATTTTTCGTAGCACGCGCAGTTTTGAAAATTGGGGAATATCACTCGGATTTTTGTTCTTGGACATTATTTTTCTACATTTTTTTTTTGCAAGTATACATATTCCCCCGTTTTAACTGGGACATATTCAGTCACGTGACGCGTTTAGACCAATCTCATGCGGGCGAAAAGATTTGATGGATTATAATTGTCGATATCTCGCAATCCATGCAAGTACCAACCTCGAAGAAGTTTTCAATGTATTCGAGAATAAACTCCGCCTCTCTGTCTTTGGTTGGATCCTGCAGGAAAAGGGAAAGTAGGAAAAAGATCATTAAAAATCATTATGAAAGAAGGGTAAAGAAGTAAATTCGTGCGACAATTGTGATGGCTCGCTTCAAACGTCACTTCAAAATTATTTTGCATTAGCTGCCAGAGACTTGGAAAGCTAAAAAGGTAGCAGTGAACTAAAATGGCACAAAGATGGAAAACGTACGCTAAAAGCCAAATCAAAAGCCTCGTCCACACTACGCCGGAGGAATTTAAAAACGGAGGTTTCACTCTTAAGACGCACCAAATGTTTTCCGTCCACACTAAGCCGGAGGAATTTAAAAAAGCATTTTGGATTTGCGCTTGAGGAATACTCGGTCAGGGAAATCACGTGATTATCGTGACGCAATCGTTTTCGAAAACCTCCATTGCTTTTCGTCCACACTAAAAAGCAAAGACAGCACCTTTCAAATTCCTCTGCTATGAACAGCGTTTTCAAAAAGCTCCGTTTTCGTGACAGATTAGAGTGGACGGTAGGCCTAACCGTAGAAATAAGGCAGCGTGTTCAAATATCTCCGGCGTAGTGTGGACACATATACACTTGCATGCATTACATCGCTAGTGTTGTCAACGATTAGATGACAAACTATTTATAATAGATCCATGTCAATCAAAGGACGGTTAACTTACATCATCTTCCGCGATCATGCGAGAGGAGAGAGCACTCCTCTGATTTCCTTCTTCTTCAGTGTAGGCGTATTGTTTCTCTTTTCTGTCCGGCTGTAGTTCCTCAGTTTTTTCTTCAGATATTTCATCTGCGATTAAAAAATTCACAGTCCTAGCCATGAGTAATGCAACAGTGAAGTAAAACAGACTATATTCCATTCCAAAAAAAAAAAAAAAATGAGACCATGTAGCTTCAAAAATCGCCCTTAGTGCTTTTTATATAGAGGATATTACATGACCGCGCGGAGACCAGGAGAAGATAAATTTTGTTTCTCCAAGCGACGACGTAATTTTATTTTTATTATATAAAATATTCACAATACATAACGACATTTGTGGCGATTTTCCGAAGATTTTCGACTACTTTCCGAAGATTTCCGAAGATTTTCCAAAATTTGCCAGAAGACCAGACGCACGTTTCCGAACATTTTCCGAACGTTTTCCAAAGATTGCCGAAGACGTCCGAAGAAGATCCGTAGATGTTTCGATCATACACCAACAAATTTAAGTGTATTGAAAGGGACAAAAATGTTATCAAAAATGATATCTTCACATGTGAAGATATCATAACCTCACGTGTGAGGATATCATATCCTTTTTATCAGTTTGTTACCAGTCAGTATACCACTAACTTTTAGTATATGTCATAATCCAGGGTCCCTTCCCTAGATTATTCGACTTTTGAGCAGATATTCATTCATTCAAACTTACATCATTCCTTTCACGGACCTTATTGTTTTATATATATCGGTACTCAAGATAATAAGCCGGGATCTGTCGAATCTGTACACTAACTGTAGCAAAACAAGACTGGAAAAGCAGTGGTAGAATGAAATTTTGTTCGCCAGTACCTGGCGTTATTTGTGAAGCGGTATATCAAACACGAAAGTCTGTGTTTGACCACTGACATTTCCAAACACCGAGAAGAGAGTTGAAAATACGATGCGTAGCAGAGTATTTTTGACGAACTTCGTGGTGTTTGGACAGGTGGTCAAATACTGTCCCGAGTGTTTGATATATCTTCTCAATCGAATTAAAAACTAAGGAGTAAACGAAGACCGGGTATCCAAACCTCCTCCACGGTTGTGATTTTCTTTGTCTAAACTTGATGAATTATTAATGATTTGAGAAATACCTGAAGCTGATTGGTCAGTTTTGTCGTGATATTAGTAGCAGCCAAGACTCGCTAACGATTGCACAAGAACAACCACTTTTAGAAGCAACTGAATATCAATAGATTCCTGTGATTACCTGCCTTCTCCATCGTTCGGTTGGTCTCCCTCAAGGCTACAGCAATTTTCCCAACAATTGAGGATTGCGCTTTCAATGAAGGCTTTCTTATGTTTTCCTGATGTGTAACAGACATGAAAAGACCTTATTATAACGACTTAGGCACCGAAATTTAGAATATACAAAAAAATCACCCCATCCCATCCCACGCCCCAAAAAACCGATTAACTAAACATAACAATCCTGAACAATAGCAGAAATAAACATGTAGAAACAGAAAATGAACGGATGAACGAACGAGCGCACGCACGCACGCAAGTACGAACGAAAGAACGAACGAACACACGCACACACGCACGCACGAACGAACATACGAACGTACGAACGAACGAACGCATGAATGAACGAACGAACGAACGAACGAACACACAAACGAACGAACGTACAAAAGAAAGAACGAATTAACAAACCAATGACTCAATCTCAAACTGATCAGCTAATCAGAACTCAAACAAGGAACGAATAATCAGTGAACAGGGACAGTCACGTGGCTCTGTCGCAATTGGTTTTGATTACGTATAAGATTATCTCTGTCAGTTGTGATTGACATCCAAGGCATTCAGAAATCCCTCAGTATGACCAAACTAGCGACCAACCAATCAATCGACGCCGATTACCAAGGATTCCAACGCACTCACCCAAACAGCGAGGGACAGTTTTGTAGCTACTATTTTCATCTTGAGCTCCTCGCGTTTAGTCAGAAGGGCTTCTTTAACAACCTACACTCAACAAGAAGGGTGAACCATTCAGTGAAAGCTAAAACCACTATATTTCGAAATCGAACTGACGCAAAAACTAATAATAATAATAATAATAATAATAATAATAATAAAGCTAAAAGAAAGGGGGGCAAAGGGGAAAAAATATAGGAATAAACTTCTACGATAATTAAACATAATTTATCATCTAAAAACTAAAGCTTGTTTAAAGAGATATGTTCTTAAATGTCTTTTAAAACTGTCAATTGAAGGACTAGATCTTAGTTCGAGTTCTCTCGCCATAAGTCTTTAGTCTCGCTTTTGCGATCGCCAAAAGGTGTTGAGAAGACGATCTTAGTGTCTGTTGAGAGGTGTGATAATTAAGCAAGTCACTGATGTAGAGAGGCGCTGCTCCATTGAGGGTTTTGTAGATCCAGTCTAGATCCCTTTTCAAGAGCGTCCAGAGCATCTAATTAATTCGTACAATACAATGTAGATCGGACAGGTTACAAGGACCTTACGCTAAACAGTAGGAGTTTGGAGAAGGTTAGATACGCTAGAACACCTCTCCCCCCTGGATTCCCCCTGTTCAAAACTCACCTCTCTTTCTTGAAGACGATTGAAAAGCTGGCCTTTCGTTTCTTTTGGAACAAACCTGCAGTTGGCAATGGACATTAGAAACCTGCTACTTGTAACAATTTGTATAGGTAATCACACGGTTTCGAGTTCAATTTGGAATTAATTTGCAAGAGTGAGTATTTCAAAAAGCTGAAATTGCACGAGCCGCTTCACAAGTGCTAATTAATTCCAAATTGAACGAGAAAAACCGTATGATTACTTATTAATAACATAAACATGAAAAAATTCATTTTTTCTCATTCGAGAAAATTTTTTTCAAAATTTCATCATTTTACGTAGTATCATTGGCTTAGAAAATTTCTTACTGCCTTTCAGCCAATCATAATCCAGAATTACGATGTGTAATTTGCACTGGTGTTACACTTGAACTGCACTGCTCTCAGCCAATCAGAATCGAGTAATTTTTTTCATGTATATTATTAAATGTGAAACAGCACGTTAGTACACCTCTGTTACGTGCAGGAAAGACTGGAGGGTGACTTTGGTTTCAAGTTTTAACTCATAACTTACCTGGTTTCGTTCTCATGTTTAACCTGCGTCACTTTGGATTTGAGATCAGCTAACTGAAACAAAAGAAAACAGAAGTAGGGTACGTGAAAAGATCGACATCATAATAATCATCATTTTAAAATTACAACCATTATCAACCTAACGTTAATAACGGTAGATAAGCAACCGTAGCGAGTTTACTACGGCGCCTTTTTCAATTAACTTACTTACAGTTAAGAAGCACTTCTCTTTAAGAAGAACTTTGTGAAAGGCTTTTTGTTGTTTGCCTTTTGTTTCAGCTTGTAATTCTCAGAAGAAATTCACGGTAGCTATATGACGTCATAATTGCAAAAACTAGCTGTAATTTGACGTGATCACATGCGCGCGCATATTGACAAATGTAAACGCAGAACCGAGAACTCAAACTCAAAACTCAAGTAAACGTTCCCCAACAAAATGCAACCGGACGATAGCGTCTTTGTCAATATTTCCGAGGTTTTCGCGCCAACGTCATAAACAATGAAGTTTGTTTGCGGTGAAACTAGCAAACGAAGTTTGATACCTTCTTTGTCAGGAACGCTGTGTCTGTGAGTTGCTCCAAAGTCAGACTCGGCATGAAGTTTGAGCGTGAAGGATGATTTGACTGATCAAACAGTAGAAAAGACCCTGGTAACCACAGATAACAAGAATGTGAGGTGTAGAGTAAAAACTGACGATAAAAGAAGAGAAGCGACATGAAAGAATGACGGGATCTGAGGGGATTTATTTGTAAACCTTTCCGTTTTACGAGATTAACTGGAAATTGTATCTTTCTTAGTCAGGAAACGCAACTTAGAACTTAATTCACCCAATGCCAGGCAAAGAATAGAAGATGTACGCAGTAAGGGAAGCTCTGAAGCAGACCAAGGGATTTATTTTATTTTCTCCGCCCTTTTCGCCTAGAACAACCCAGGGACGTGTTTCTCGAAAGCTCTCGTAAATACCGGGCCCAATAACTTACCGGGTCTTTCGAGAAACGGGCTCTAGGGCGGTTGCAAAATTCAATAATGCGTACACTAAATGAACGCCGAGGCCATACTCCCTTTATGGCGGCATTTCGCATAACACAACAGTAAATTACCACGGTGTTACTCCGTGTTTCCTCAAACATACCTGGTGATACACGGCTGGTTGAATTGCGATAGCTGGACCTGTTCTGTTTGGATGATACTCTAACAAATAAAAGCAACACAAATATGCTATGCAGTGAGCATAAGAACGCCAGAATTCAGGAACAGTACCAAGGTCTCGACCTTCTCGGGCACCAAATGGCACTTGGTTCTTTGGAGTGCCCAGCGTGTGAATGCAATACTATTTTTTTGCCGGTACCCAGGCACCAGTGCTCGGGCACAAAGTGTGAATACAGCCTTATAGACTCAAAAATGATGAGTCAGCACGTTTCGGGATAACTCTCCCGTGATCAGGAGCCCTTTACCCCAGGGCAGGAAAGTGAGAGGAAAGAAAACAGAGCGGGACAAAAAAGAACATCACCTCGTGCATGACTTACTTTCCTTGCCCGTCTCTCAACGGCTCCCCAAAAGGGGCAGAAGGAAAAAAGGAAGGCATTGATCTCTGTTTAATTCAAGCAAAATTTATGCTGCTGAGTTGCACTTAAGACACTTTTTGTAAGAGAAAGTTGTATCCTCAGCAGAAAAAATCATTTCGGTTAAGAGTACAGAGCAGTATCAAAGAAATTGCTAAGCAACGTCAATGTCTACTGGCGACCGTGCGTGAGTCCATAATGATGTGCAACCGCTCTGTAAAAGGTTAAGCTTACTGGAAATAATTACGAGAGGTAGCTCTTATTGTAAAGACAATACCTGAAAAAAAGTAGCCGAACGTTTTGCGCGTGCGACAAAAGAACCGTTTTCAAAGTTAAATTATGTTAAAAATAGGAACATATTTAAGTAAACATCATTGACCAGGAGACGTGAAATACAGCGGAAAACGCTTTGCATTCCATAATTCAATTTAGGAAAAGCGTTCAGAACTCCGTCGAATCTAATGTACAAGTGAGCAGTACTCGAGTACTTCGCCGGAGTGACTCTTTACCACTCAGAGCGATTTCAAATTGGTAAGTACTCAATTACAACAAGCGGTATTCGAGTATATTGCCGGAGTAACCTTTAAACATGCGATTTCAAATTGAGTGGCTTTCAATCTGAAAGTATTTCAACGTGCAGTGTAACGAGTAAGTTTTAATTACTTGGAGCGATTTGGAAAATGTTTCAAGCATTGCTTGAACATATTGAGTACTCAAAGGCAGTATGGAAAACTTAAATGCTTAGGATGAACAAAACGAAATAAATTGTTTTCTGCGGTTAATGCATGACAGTTAAAATGGATATAAATGGATATAAATGGATACAAAACAGATCAGGTCGAAAAAGGAAAAAGTGTCATCTTGTGAAAAGTTACTCTAAGTTATCTATTCACTTCACAAGGCCACCCGTAACTCAAAACAGGTTTGCCCTGTATGTGTTCGCCATTTTGAATCATCAACTCCAACCGGTCTCAGAAGCTCGTTTGACCGGTTTGACCATGACGTCAGAATTGTTTCATTGGTTCACAGCCAAGTCTTTGTTCTTTTGCTTTATACACGCGACACCACCCGGATGGTTGGGCGGCAGGTTAACTGCACTCCATACTCATATCTCTCTCTCTTAAACACTCAAACAGCATGCATTACCATTAACCCCCTCCAACTCCTGCCTCCCAATTCCCTACATATCCCTAATTCAGCTGCCGTTAATGCCCAATCACACCCCTAGCCTAACACCCCTACCCTGACATCTCTCTAACCCGTAGGATTTCCTCCTGAGTGGCAAACATATAAGTATACACCCTTAAAGTTATGATAACTGTAGAGCCGAAACTTAAAGCTCGTTTATACAGCAGAATAAAGGATAAAGAAAATGCTGTATGTATGGCTCTGGATTAGATTGTATTGCTATTATTTTTTTTGTATTGTACATGAAAGTACATGGTGTTTGTTTGCCGTTTGCTGTTTGAAGGCACGGATGTTATTTTTGCGAGATTATAGTCGTCACTATTTGGTTAGCCTGGGTCTCTCTGTTGATGAGACTTGCAAAAAAAAAACTGTTGCAAGGCCAACGCAAGAGTTGGAATACATGTTTGTCATAAACTTTGTAATCTTCAACTTTCGCGCACCACCGTGATCTTTAAAAAACGGTTTATCAGTAGTTGCTGAGTGTCGGGAATTTTGCAGGCATTTTATCGTTTTTAGTGAAGTAAAAGCATTACGAAGAACACAATTATGAAGGGGTATTTTTATGGTCATACCTAAATGTATAGATTAAACCGTTTCAGAGACCAGTTCGAGAGACAAGAAAAGCTCGACGCGTTGACCCGTTTGAACAAACGAGATTCAAACGCATTGCGAACTCGTTTGTGTTGCAGAGCACTGTAAGTATTGCATATTTCTAATTAATGTCTCAATTGATGCTCAAGTTATTAAAGTTGCAGATAATAATACAAACCTGTGATTTATAATTTTGAGCAGTCCAACTTTAAGTTCCAGTTCATCTGCGCGTTTTTTGACCATTCTGACCGGGAAAAAAATTGCATTTTTGCATGTAAAGACAGTCAGTTTCAGCACTCTAGCTCTACTTCCTTTTTCTCTTTTCCCGTACGTTTTAATGCTTCTGTCTCACATTTCACAGTGATTTTCTAATAAATGCATAGCCAGTTTACAAAACATGATTACAATGTAATTTTATGCACATTTCTAATTCAATGTTCTAACACATACATTGTTGCCAGTAACAGCCATTACAATCAACTAAACATCAATGCTTCCACCTTTCTAACTTTGTTCCATTGTAACAGACTATTATTTTTAGTTTATCACCTGATTGTTTCAGGTTCCAAGACTGCCGCTGCTAATTTTCCTGACAGATACACTGCCTCTCTCTGACCTCTCTCCATTGCCTCAATGCACTCTTCATATTCTACCTACAAGTCAATGTGAAATACAATCCTGGGGGAGATCTAGGGGGTTTGGGGACTTTGATCGAGCCCCCTAAATTAAAAAAAAAGAGATGTTACAACATCCTGACTTGGCCTCAGAATGCCGGAAATCCCATTTCTGAGAACCTAAATACCTTTTAAAAAATATCTGCTGGAGTATGCCCCAGAACCCCCTACAGGGGATTACCTTCTGCAGTCCATATCTAAAACCGCCTTCTATAAAATCCTGTATCCGTACCAGCAATCTGCATCACAGGTCATGGAAAGTAATTCCTTCTACCACAGTTCAATATTGGATAACATGATAAGAGTTAAAAGCCTTTATCCAGCTCATTTGTGCTAAAAAGAATTTCTTTATTGAAAAATTCCACTTCTGACACCATGTTTAGTACTCACAACTGTCAGCCATAATAGTCAAAAAGTACAAGGATCATGACAACTGTCTACCTGGTTATTGAGAAAACAGCAACTAAAACACATCACAACCCAAGACAACTTGTTACATCATTGCAATTTAAAGCCACATTATTTTTGACTGGTAGGACCAAAGGCAAATTTGAATGCAATAAATTTTTTACAAGGATGTATCTTTTCAGTTTTTTCTCCAATACCTTTATTCTGGAAAGTAGATCTCTGTATGTTGAATGCTCATCTATCAGTCTTTCAAAGCATACTTTGTGCACACAGTAACGGTCCTAGAATGCATATTCACAAAATTTTTCATTATATATACAGCAATTCACGAATATTGCAAACATACCTATGGCCTCAGGAAATAAAAAAAAATGTTGATTAAGAACACTATGTAACAAGCACTGCAGCTTGTAATAAAATTCTGAAAATTTACCAACAAATATTATCAATTCTTCTAACAATTTAGAACAGTCAGCCATCTTGAACAGTCATGAAACTTCCAGATATGATTATTGTTATAATTAGTAATGATTCCTGAATCAGCTTTACCTAATACACTGTAGTTATCATCTCCAACAATTAGAATGCATCACAGATCTATGCAGCCAGCCCACTAGAAGTGATACCTTCCTGCCCCTCCACCCTCTCCCATCTTCCAGCCAATCCTACTTACACAGGGCAGGACATGAGTTTTCATCCCAGACTCTCTCATTTATGCTAACAGTACAGGTATGGCAATTTAATGATTCATTACTTTTCATTTTGTTTTATAACATGATATCCCAATTGAAAAGAAGTATGCTATAACAAAGAGGGAATTTAATGACTAGGGGGAGAGCTACTATTCCTGGATGATACAACAGTCCCACACATTACTCTGACAAACATACAGTAAATTATGCCATGAACATTAATGCCACCCTCCAGAAAATACTTGCCCTCCTTTTTGCACCTCCAGCCCCCCTCCTCTCCTACTCCTGGCCATAAAAATCACTAATTGCATACCAAGGTTGTTGTTGTTTTGCTGTTGTGCTGGAGATTAGGAGATGGATGACATAACATTTCCATCAGCAATTGTAGTAGGAAATAAAACCATACACTTTTACCTGTTTGGTAGTTTTGACACTGCTATCCAGATTCAACAGTTCCTGACCAAAATATATTAAATATAAGTTGTAAGAAGCTTACTTTTTAATATAACTAAAGCTTACTTCCTGTTTTGTTACAAATAGGCCCTTCCACGGTTCATTGATATTTTTAAATAACAATTTTAAAACACATTTTAAGCTATAATTCTTAATCTTTCACTTATTAATGAATTAAGGCGAAAGTATATAATTGTTTCTCAGGATCAGCAGGATCTTCTCTTCCGGGTTTCAAAATGAAAACAAAATAATTATTTTTCTTTTTTAATTAAGCTTAAGCTTATTACATTTTCAGTGTGAATCAACCAACAATAAATTGTAGCCGATCTCTTATAATTTGGATAGAAAACACAGCTGCAAACATCACTTCCACTTTCTAAGACATTCACTTAATGCATTTCAGCCACCTAACTTTTCTTAAAACCTACCTTATTTAAGAAATCTTGAAGCTGATTTGAATATACCGCCATTTTCGTGTCCATCACATGTGCGGAGCTGAATCTGCTAATGTATCGACCTAAAAACCTTATAATTAGCACAATTTCTCTTCAGTCGTGTTCCAGCAGGCTAAAAGATTGCTTCCGTTTTAACGATTTCTAAGAAACTCAAAAATTTGCAAGCGGTTCACGGAAAATCCTCATGGATGCAAACCCACTCAACCCTTTTCAGCATAATTTTTTTGGGGCGCGTTTCCATCGTTACCATTGATTGCGTCAAATTACGTGCGGATTGAACACCATTCATCCCCAGTCCTACTCCAAAATTTGCACTGTCGTGCTGTCGTGACCGATCCAACATGGCGGAGAGTTGGGAGTATGGTTGAGTTTGTTTTGGCTGGAAGAAACACTGCAAAAAGAATAACTTATAGAGCGTAGAAGCCATGAGGGCCCGGAGTAACTCGATTGTTCGTCTGGACTGGTATCACAGTCTTGTTAACCGCACCATTTTGGATTTTCAGGTAAGCTAATTTATATAGGCTTATTTAGCTAGTTCATAAGATCGACTTTCGGTCCGATGACTGATACTTATTTGGGTTGAGATCAACTTGTTTTTATGATGAACAGGCAAGATATTGATCTGCTTCATTTTGTCGTTTGTCCTCCACTGGTTTTATTTGTCGCAAATCAAACCTGTGCGGTGCATCATGTCCCGACAAAAGCCATATCATATTGTCGTGCAAAGTTGACACGAATAACCTTTAGCTCTTCTTACATACGTGTCTAAAAGAAACTTGAGCTGAAGTCTTAGTCACGTTATTTACATCTTCGTATCATGATGATCACAACATGAACAATATCTATATTCCGCGTAACTTGCTGAAACAAAGAGTTTGTCTGTATAATTATATAACAGTTGAAAATTTTGAATAACAAAGAGAATTAATAGATGTCGGTGTTTCTGAAGAATCGATCAATTAGGTTATATCGCCAGACACGCCAAAGTTTTGACCTCACGTCAAACTTTCTTTTGTAATAACTACAGATCCTTTAGAATTAGTAGACATGTGCTAAAACCCAGAAACAGTTTGTAACAACCCAGAAAACTTTTATCTTATGATCAACAAGCAGACAAACAATATTTTATTATTTTGTAAGCTACATGTATATGGATGCACTTTATTGTACAGCAACAAGAGAAAACTTTAAACCCAGAAGTATAAATTGTGTGACTCTGCTTTCTGTTCCATTTGTGTTTTGGGTTAGTGCCTACTTTTGTTAACAAACTTTATCAAAGTGCCAGTACATATGAAGCTCATAGAGCTCATTGGGAG